GTGGATACTAGAATCAAGGTGTGATGATCGATACCTGGAAGGTGACTAAGCATAATATACAATTGGTGCATAAAAAGTGCAATAAATTAAAACCAAAGTCTAGACTAATATATTTGCAATAAATTAAAACCAAAGTCTAGACTAATATATTCTAAGAGTGAGAGTGTGCAGTGCGGCATGAAACCATTATTTCAATAGCATGCAGTGTCAAAGCATAGATAACAGTACAATACATCAAAGAATATTCCCATCCTGGGTAGGATGGATATTACATTACAAACAAGAAATAAATTTCTGACATTAACCGGAGTAAATTTCATAATCACTAGTTATCCCTTGCTCACCATCGAAATCCAGCTACTAAGTTCTGGAAGGGTGCCTTATAGAAAGTGAGAGTGGGAAAAAAAAAAAAAAAAGGTTTTATTAAAACCTTTGTAGGATTCTAGGATTCTACTTAGCCCAACATAGACATTTTCGTCATTTTACAACTTTAGTCAAATAAAATACCCCAAATTAGAGACGGGCCATAACAATTTGTTTTGGAACTCTTCTTTGGTGTCAAGGTAAGAGCTATGAATTGCATTGACTCAAAGGGAAAACGTATGGGCACTATTACGGGACATACAATCCATTACAAACGTATGATTATTACGCTTCAACCGGCATATTTTATTCCACCTCTTAGAAAGAAAAGAATTTAAATCAAAATACTTAATAACATCGCGATACATCTACCGCGAGCACACGCAATGGAGCGTAGACAAGAAATCCAATCTACAAAATAACTAATAAAATAATATATGTAGTTTCATCGTTTGTTTGTTCGTCTATAAAGTGTAATCTAATTTTCAACTCATGAGATGCCATGAATAGGTATGGAGCTAGAATTGTTGTTGAAGCATTAAAGTAGGGGCGATTTAAAGTAAATGAATAATTTTAGATCATGCTAGTCATTGAAACATTAAAGTAGGGGCGATTTAAAGTAAATGAACAATCTTAGATCATGCTAGAAAAAACCCATCACAAACCAATCAAAGCAGCTCAATTCACATAATAAAATCGGTCTTTTAATTTCCATCTACATTCTATTGAATTTACATTAAGAATAGAGAAAATAATATTTAAAAAATAACTGATTGAATCACATTATTGTTAGACCATTGTGAGGCTAAGCCACCCCCTTCCCCTTAATGTAGATAATATCGTTTGATAAAAAAAAAAAACAATCATTTGATAACTAATTTAATCACATTATTATGCGCATGTGAAAGACCTTTTTTATAATGAGCATTAGACTCATCTTAAGATGTTTTGAACGTGTTTAAAAATGAGAAAATAATATTTAATAAACAATTGATTGAATCATATTGTTGCTAGCCCAATAGGTACTAATTTAAAAAATGTACAAAAAGAATTAATTATTAAAAAACATTGTTAAAATAACGAAAATACTCTACATCATTTCATTCATTATTTTGGGTTGCTTTTGAAATTTTTTGTTTTGGGGGGATTTTTGTCCAAAACTTTTTGGTGAAGCTTGTGACCTCAAAAGGGATTGTTGGCTTTATATATAACTAGCCTTTCTGCACGCACTTATGTGCGTGCGAAAGGCCTTTTTTACATCACGGTGTGCTATGCGCAGTGTCTAGAGTTATTTTTTCTTTTTACATTCGTTCACGCATAAAGACATAATACATAACGAAGTAAATATATTTATTCATGTTAATTGTTTTGCTCTTGCGCATGCAAAAGACCGCCCTAAAGATCATATGTTTGGGTGAGAGGGACATCAAAGTTCCAAAGAATTAAGGTCAAATTAGTAAGGAATGAACTATAAACTATTAAAGAAGAAAATAACTGCACTTCATAAGCATTACAAATGTTTGTGAATGAAGGTATCAGTCATTCGTAACTCCTATGTCTTTTGTAACAATTATGTAGGGTATCTATCAGACATTTCTAGTCTATTCAAGGCTAACTTGACCTCATTAATCCCTTGAAATAAGTTCATTACCCCAATCATTAAAAGGGTGTCAAATACGAATACAAAAATGAACTCAAATTATTTTCAAAGTCACCATGTAGAAAGAGACTTAGTTCTCATGGAAGACAACAATAAAGTTGGAAAGGATATCATATTACTTCGAAATCACCAACTAATTCAATTCATGTTCTTATAATAGTGATTGAATCTGAAAGCAATCTTTCTCCTATAATACATTGTTCCCATACCAGAGGGCTTGAAGTCACTGTTCCTACCCATACCATTGCCATACTCTACAAATTGTGAGGATTTCATGCATTTGCGCACGGCAATTTTAATGACAATTTTAAGAATGCAGTGAAGTATTTAAGGCTTGCTCTTCACTCCACATCCCCCAGTACTGCTGGCCTTGCATCTTTTGGTACTGGTAAACATTTGTTCTAGTGTGTACTTGCAAGGATTGATATTTTTATCTAGTAAAATAAAAATTAATAGAGAAGGGAAGAGGAGATCACGTCATACTTCAGAAATAGTCTTCAACTTGCCCTGTTCTAACTTGAGCAATAATCTTAAGAGTACTCAAGCTTGGGCAAAAGGAAATCAGCTACTTGTTGAACCACCTATCAAAGTTAGTTATAAATATGTAATTAATTGGTCCAAGAAAATTGACGAAGGCATATAAACAGAGAAAAATCGTTGAATCTTATATTACCTACAATGAACAGAGAAACAATTTGGTATAAGAATCTCATTCCACAAAACTTCAATTCGGGCCTAAACAAATGAAAGCAAAAAAATTCTCAAGATACATACTTTCATCCAAATCATCCACCGTCGTTAACAAAACAACCTATATCTTCCTTCAGCTAAAATAAAGCAAAAACTCAGATGCCCCGAAATCAACTGGTTGTTCAGTGCTGGCTGGATCGTTTAAAAAAAAAAAAAACTGTCAATTGGGAACATGCTGAAACCAAGTTTGGTACCAAAAGATTTCAAACTTGAATTGTTTGTAAATAGCAACTTTCATCCCCATGAACCTAAAGCATTACAATAAAACACAACTTATTAACTATTTGACATTGGCTTATAGAAAGTTAATAACTTTTTGCAACATTACAAAACGGAAAATTGTAGTACCTTTCAGATATGGGAATCACGGATTTCTTCCCTCTTTCTTCTTCATACGCATCCAACACCATTGCAAACTCTAATTATTCTCTTATCCTCGCTTTCTACAATCTAAACTCCAGTAAATCCCAGTACTGAAAAACATGCCAAAATAACATAAAAAATAGTTAGTAAAAAAGCTTCCACTGCAATGTATTGCCAATTAAATTTTACCAATTGGGCTCTAAGTTCTAACTGCCAAGTAAGCGTGAGGTCTAAAATGGGATTTACGGAAGTTACACAGTTTGAGGGAAACTGTTTTGTATGGAACGTGGTGCAGTTTTCTCCAGCTTTTTCCCACGTTTGAATTTCTTTTTTTTTTCTTCTTTTTTTTTTTTTGGTTTTATTTACACAAATGTGTGACATCCCACATCGCCCAGGGGAGTGATCCTTATATGTATATTCTCATCCCTACCTAGCACGAGGCCTTTTGAGAGCTCACTGGCTTCGGGTTCCTTAGGAACTCCGAAGTTAAGCGAGAAGGGGGCTAGAGCAATCCCATGATGGGTGACCCACTGGGAAGTTGCTCGTGAGTTCCCAAAAACAAAACCGTGAGGGAATGGTAAGCCCAAAGCGGACAATATCGTGCTATGGTGGTGGACCGAGCCCGGAAAATGATCCGTCCCGGACCAGGATGTGACAATTTGGTATCAGAGCCTAACCCTGGCCGTGGTGTGCTGACGAAGACGTCGGGCCCCTAAGAGGGGTGGATTGTGACATCCCACATCGCCCAGGGGAGTGATCCTTATATGTATATTCTCATCCCTACTTAGCACGAGGCATTTTGAGAGCTCACTGGCTTCGGGTTCCTTAGGAACTCCGAAGTTAAGCGAGAAGGGGGGTAGAGTAATCCCATGATGGGTGACCCACTGAGAAGTTGCTCGTGAATTCCCAAAAACAAAACCGTGAGGGAATGGTATGCCCAAAGCAGACAATATTGTGCTACGGTGGTGGACCGAGCCCGAGAAATGATCCGTCCCGGGTCGGGATATGACAAAATGCCCATGGAAAATTTAGATTCATAATTTACTTCAGTTTTAAATTTTTTGTTTCAAGGACTTTTGTGTCTTTTTTTTTTTGAGAAGCCTTAAGACATCAAAACTCACTTCTGGCATTCTATTAGTAGAGATAAAGATTAAAACGTTGAACCTTTTTTCACTCTATGCTAAAACATTATTTCTTTGATGCGGGGACAATTGGATTTCATGCATAATTCCTAAAGTTTTTCATGTCACTAGAAAACAAATAGATTGTTTCCCACTTTTTGAGGGAAATGATTTTTACACATACTTTTAGCTTTTCATACATAATTTTTATTTTTAGTTATTGAATTGAATAAATTAAACAGAAATAACAGTCAAAATTAAATAAGAGTACGTGAAAAGTTAAAAAATATGATATTCCTAAAGTTTTTCATGTCACTAGAAAACAAATAGATTGTTTCCCACTTTTTGAGGGAAATGATTTTTACACATACTTTTAGCTTTTCACACATCATTTTTATTTTTAGTTATTGAATTGAATAAATTAAACAGAAATAACAATCAAAATTAAATAAGAGTACGTGAAAAGTTAAAAAATATGTGTGTTTATCATTTCCCTTTATTGAGGAGTAATAATATTACAGGGGCTTTGTACTTTTAGTGGTGGCGAATACTTACTCTTATATGCCTATAACTAGGGTTTTAATCTCCTGCTTTCCGTTTGACTTGAAACACACAAAAAAAGAGAAAAAGGAAGACAATAGAATCCAACAAATGGAAATGATTTTCGCAATCATTTTTTTTTTCTTTCTACACATCCCAGACTTATAATTAAATAAAATATAGGAGAACGAAGACCCAAAAAAAAAAAAAGTGCAGAAATAAAAACTGAGTTACTTCCACATGCGATATAAGGGCTCATTAGTTGAAAACCTATAGACTGAAAATGATGTGACACTGTCACGCATTATCAGAATTGGCCTATAAAGATCTTCCAAAACCAACCATTCCAAATCCATATTCCCATCCCTTGAGCTTTCCATATTTCTCTTTTTTAAGTGCGTACTCGATTTGCAAGTTCTCTAGCTCTCAAGTAATCAACCTTCTTCTTCCCAACTTTCTCTAGTTCACTCAATTTCTTGTTACTAATTGTTTTGATGTTAGTTTATCGTTCAAAGAATTCGAATTTGTGAGAAAGAAGAAAGTGAAAAAAATGGAGTAATCAGTAAACTACATGGACAAAGAGTACCACCGATAATTATGATTTTAATTATTACTAGAATAATTTTTTAATTTTTTTTTGTTTGCTTTTAAGATTTATTGGTTTGCTAATATATTTGAGGAAAGAACTTCGCTGCTGAAAAAATCAGCAGCAACCCTGCTGAAGATCAATCACAGCTGGACACGTGTCCAAGTTGTAATTAAAAATTCACCAAATTGAACACGTATCCAGCTGTGATTGGTTATCAGCAGAGGCTGCTGCTGATTTTTCAGCACCCAAGTCCCGTTTTATATTTGAGACTAATTGTACAACGTTTTACATTTTTTCATGCAGTTGCGCTACCCATGGAGTTTGGCAAAGATCATCGTGAGTTCGACTGTGACTCTCCTTTTGTTAAGGGGGGTTTGAATGAAGCTGCAAAAACACCCAAGAGTACCGGAAACAATGACATAAGTGTAATCCAAGAAAACGTTGGCTGCTGTATGACAACTTCAACTTGTATAACTCAGCATGAAGAAAAGAAAAATAATGAAGATGGAATATTGCGCAAACTTGGAAGACGAAGTTTTGAGAAGAAAATGGAATCACCAAGTGGGAAAATGATTCACAAAACAGAGTCATTTGGCTCCCACCTACTAATCAACATGGATGAAGTTAATAGCAATACCGTTACTGAAAGCTTTGACAAGAGAGGTTCCATATTAAGCAGGACTTCTAGCAATGGCTTGGGAAATTCTTTCTCTCTTGCTGAAGGAGACATCTCAGACAATATTGCCTTGAGAGTGCAGAGTCCAAAGCAACGCAGTACGAAACTGAAGCCAATCTCAAGTTATATTTAATAGACTTGTCTTGAAAAAAAGCATAACCAACTTAATTAGGAAATATTACATTTGTTTCGGGTATTTATAAAAATTTCTCTAAAACTACATGCTTAATTACCATTAGAAACCAACTAGTTCTTGTTGCAGTCATACGTCTCTTTGTAGAATGTCTCAAGTTTCTCCCGTTTCTGAAAAAAATACTACAATAGTTAACCATTAAAACTACAACCCCTCATTTGTGCAAAAGTCTCAGGTTTAATGACAAATTTTTATGATCTTTATACTAAAAGAAAATATTCCAACAGCTAAGTCTATGTCAACTGAAGAAGGAGGTCCAGATGCAGACAAAGGGAGAAATCTCCATGTGGAACCCAGCTTACCAATTTATCTCAAGGTAACACATTATTAACCCTAGAGATGCTTAAATATATATATATATATATATGTGTGTGTGTGTGTGTGTATCAAGCAAAGGAAATTTAACTTATTTAATTGTTTCAGAGTGTGTGTGTGTGTGTGTGTGTGTATAAATTATTAATTGTGTTGCAGTTCCAAGATGTCAAGCATAAGGTTGCTGCTGCAAAGGGTATGAAAAGCTCAAATGCAGAGTACATACTGCATGGAATCACTGGCTCAGTGCTTCCAGGAGAGGTTCTTGCTCTAATGGGACCTTCTGGAGGTGGCAAAACCACTTTGCTGAATCTCCTCAGTGGAAGAGTGAAACTCAAAACCGGTACCATCACTTACAATGACCAACCATACACCAAGTTTCTCAAACGGAGGTATATAACATGATACATAACACGACAGTTGCTTACTACGTAATACACTGACTATTACCCAAAATTTTCATTACATATACCATGACACTTTTAAATGAATTATAAAAAAATCAAGCTTCAAGTGGACCGCAAATATGTAAACAAATGAAATGTTGTCACGTGAGTTGGGGTTTGAAAAAACACAATTGATATTAAGAGTTGATGGAGTTGATAATTGATATACTCTAAGAGTTTGCATATTTATTTTAACATATAAAATATGGGAATTTTTTTTCTGATATTGGTTTTCATGGAACAGGATTGGATTTGTAATGCAAGATGATCTTCTGTTCTCCCATCTTACAGTCAAAGAAACGCTAACTTATGCTGCTCTACTCCGTCTTCCACTTACCTTAACCAGAAATCAGAAAAAAGAAAGGGCCATGAATGTGATTAATGAGCTAGGCCTAGAAAGGTATATATATAATATTCCATCTAACATTAAACATCCATCTATTTGTCAAGATGAACTCGCCGATACTGCCTCCCACCTTGCATTTTACTACTTACACAGCACGGCAAGTGTATGAGTTTTGTCGCAAAAGACATCGGTATAATTAGAAACCCCTCAATTTACGTCATATTTGATCATGTCAGTGATCCGGGGTAAGATTCTTGTATTCGTCAACACTGTTGAAATGATCTTCTTAGTTAACTTCCAAGCTAACTCAGTCACTATGAAGCTATTTGTTACTCATATAGCAAGATTCACTAATTTTTCAGGTGCCAGGATACACTTATTGGTGGCACATTTGTTAAAGGAGTTTCTGGTGGTGAGAGGAAAAGAGTGTGCATTGGAAATGAAATCCTGCTCAATCCATCACTTCTGTTCTTAGACGAACCAACTTCCGGTCTTGATTCAACCTCAGCACTTCGAATACTTCAGATGCTCCACATTATTGCAAAGGTACTGGAATTATTGATTGAATCCTTTGTAATATGAACAATATTACTTGATCATATGAATATTTTATCAAAAAGAAAAAAAAATCAAGTTAGATCGATTGTGTTTATATAAATGTAGGCTGGCAAGACAGTGGTGACTACAATACATCAACCGTCTAGTAGAATATTTAACAAGTTTGATAAACTCATCCTCTTGGGTAGAGGAAGCTCCTTGTACTTTGGAAAAGCCTCTGAATCGATGACATACTTCTCCTCAATCGGTTGTGCACCGCTTATAGCTATGAACCCCGCAGAGTTTCTCATTGATCTTGCAAATGGTAACACAAATGACAAATCACTTCCAACAGAACTGGAGGATGGAAGGCCTTCCACGGTTGATGTCCACGAGGTTGCTAATAAAAACTGAACTTTCAAAACCCAATTATAAATTTCTAATAGCTATCACGGCGCAGAATCTCATTTTACATAATTTTGCAGTTTCTGGTAGAGGCCAATCAAATCAGACTTGCAGAAATGAAAAAAACAAAGCTCCTAAGTTATGTGCAGACAGACGGGGAGAACATGTTGCAAGGCAAAGGGATGACATACTTGAGGGAATCAAATGCAACTTGGTGCGAACAGTTTTCAATTCTTTTTAGGAGGGGCCTTAAGGAGAGACGCCACGAATACTTAAGCTGTTTGCGTGTATTTCAAGTTGTCTCAACTGCTCTAATAATAGGACTCCTATGGTGGCAGTCTGATACTTCTTCCCGAAGACAGCTTCAAGATCAAACAGGATTGTTATTCTTCATTTCAGTATTTTGGACCTTCTTCCCTTTATTCACTGCAGTTTTCACATTTCCGCAAGAAAGAGCAATACTTGCTAAAGAGAGATCAGTGGAGATGTACAAACTCAGTGCATACTTTTTAGCTAGAAACACTAGTGATATTCCTCTGGATCTCCTGCTGCCGTTAGCCTTCCTCGTCATTGTTTACTTAATGACAGGCTTGAAGCTGACCTTTACTGCATTTATCCAAACAATGCTAACAATTTTCCTTAGCATTGTCGCCTCTCAGGTAAAAATTACGGATATTTTCTGGTAAATAATTGTTCTTCTCCTTGAAGCAAAATAAAAACAATATTGGATGACACTGTAAACATCAAAATTGCAGGGTCTTGGATTGACCATAGGTGCAGCATTTGCCGATGTGAAAAAGGCAACAACGCTAGCTTCCATCGTCGTTATGACCTTTATGTTATCTGGTGGATTCTTTATCAAGGTCAGATAAATATATAACCTGAACCAATAAGCTCACTGGATTTGTTAAATATAGCGTGACACGTACATTATAAACTATATGTGGTTGCAGAAAGTTCCATCAAATGTTTCGTGGATACGCTATATCTCGTTCAACTACCACTCTTACAGGCTACTCCTGAAAATTCAGTACGGTTGCCCATCACGTTCAGGTACCTCTGGAAATGAAACATGTGAGTCTCAATTAATCAAAGAATTAAGACTGGATTCAGGTGTGACGGAAGTTGGAGCTATGATTGTGATGATCATTGGGTATAGGTTACTAGCCTATTTATTTCTCAGGGCAATGAAATTCAGGACTATGATATAGTCTCCCATTCTAGACGATATCTACTTGAAAAATTAGACTTCTCAGAATGTTTCTGTCCACGGAAGAAAGTTTCATTGCTAATATGTTCCATTCAATATATAAGTATTAGTTGAGTTTCGTTCCAAAAATAAAAAATAAAACCGTCAGCTTGCATGTAGGTTAAGTGTCTTCTCGACATTTGAGGCTATGAGTACTTTGTCCTTCCAATAAACTAGGAACTAAGTTATTATCTTCAAGTTTGCTCATGTTGAAGAATCTGATTCAGAAAAGAGAACTATTGTATGAATTATGTATTTTAGTTTCCAGTTCTCATTTTGTATGATGGACAATAAGATACTTTAATTGATGTTTTTATTTTATTATGATTTAAAATTTCTCAAGTTCCCTTCTAACTTGTAATGGGTGGGGTGTCCTTCTAACCTGAGGGCTTAGGGTATATGCTTAAAGCAATCATAACACGAGGCAATGGTGGATGTACCAAAACAACCTCACAAACCCAATCTACCTCACCCACACAATAAAGTATTTTAATGCCATACTTAGTTACAATCTAATACTATAAGACTTGACATGATAAAAGTAACTTGCGCACTTTTTCATGTTTTTAATTCGTGTGGTATAATAACCTACCTTCACTTCTTAGCTCAGTGCATTGCAACTGAGGATAACCAATTCTTCAAAACTTAGGCTTTTCGACAATTCTTTATCAATCAAGGCTTTTCATTGGTATTCTAATCTACTACCCAAATCGATCGACAGTTGACCACAAATACAAGATACTTTTTATGGACAACGAACAAAAAGATGATAAGTATGAAACCGCTGCTGCTGCAATCAACAATATGAAGAATCCAGTGAAAGTCAAGACCTTAACGAAGCCAGTGAAATAGTATAAACCAGTCCAACATTTAGGAGGCTACGTTCCTAAGAAGCCGCAACGTTCAAGAACTACTCCTTTGATTTGACGAAAGGTAACTGATGGATTGGTGAAAAGTAAGGGACCGTTGGATATAACCTTTTCATTTTTAATTTTTAGTTTTTGTTTTCATTTTTTTGAAAACTGAAAACTGAATTCTTGTTCGATAACTACTTTCATTTTTTAGTTTTCAAGAAAATGAAAATTGAAAAGCAAAATTCTAAACTACTCTTTTTGAGTTTTTAAAATTTAGCATTGAGTTTTCACTTTTTGGTTTTCAATTTTTATTATTTTTTAATTGAAAACAACAAGTAGTTATCAAACAAAATTTCAATTCAAAAAAAAAATAATAATAATAATAAATAAGATAATTACCAAACGGCCGCTAAAGTGATTAAACCCGACTCAAACCAAAAGGTGCATAACCTCTAATTAAAAGAAAATACTTCAATTGGCATAGTTTCCGGGCACATCCCACGAAAAAGGTATCCAATTCAGGAATTAAATTTAGAAAAATGCTAGCATCCTCTTTGCACTAGCCATTTGAAATTATATTTTATGGTTTTCATCTTCAATCCCTAGCTAAAATCATTGAAAGGTCTTTTTTTATGGGTACAAAATTGAAGGAAATTTTTGGCAAAACTAAGATCGTTTGAGCAACATACAAAGAGAAATTAACAATTAAAAGGCAGAAATTTGTATACATGCACTCAAAATAATTCTTAACCAAGAAATTCAAAGTCTAGTAGTGTACCCGAACAAAGACTCAACACAAATTCAAGAGGAAACGGAAGAGTTTTCAGTATAAAATTATAAGGCTATGGAGGCACCGTTGGCCCGAAGTGTACACTTTATAGCTAGGTTTTAAAACCCTTCATGGCTACCTAGCAAGAAAAAATAGAGTTTCAGAACCACTCCATAGAACTCGACAAGCATGAATCAGTATAAAATAAAAAAAAAAAAAGAAGAAGTAAAGGGAGGCTTCTGGAAGTAACGGGAAAGGAGGAAGGGAAGGAAAGAAAGAAAGGAAAAAGGAAGAAAAGGGAGGCACGGAAAAAAAAAAATAATAGAGGAGGGAAGCCATAACGAAATGCGGAGAAGAATCAAAAGGAAAAAAGGGTCTCAGTTTGAGGCCGAAGCCGTTGCTCTCATAATCCGCTGTCCAATTTGCAAGGTTCTTTTTCCTCTTCACTCTCCACCTTGATCTGCAATTTTTGGTAATTGATGAATATATAGAATGATTCAATTCAATTATTTAATCTTTTACTTTGAAGCTCTGATAGGAGCATATTTAGGCGACTTACTTAGCTTGTTTTCGTGCATCTATGTTGTTAATTCATAGTTGTTTTAGTAGTTTAAGCCATTTTCGTGTGTTTTTAGGTTCATATGGCTAAGAAAGCAAAAAGATGCATTTTGGAGCATTTTGGAGCAAAATTGGGCTTGGAATGGATAGCATATGATTGGAGCCAAAGTGTTGGACGAATTTGAAGGCCTTGTATTCATTTTGGACATAAAACAAAGGGCCTAGCCCATTCTCTCTTAAACCAACCCCAAGGCCATGCATTTCCTTCTAATTCCAAAACCCACAATCACTTCAAAAGCCATGCAAAGAACCATCCATTCCATCAAAAACAATCCATCAATTCACATGCAAAACCACCATTAACACACATGCACCCAAACAAAGCCAACCTAGCTAACCCTACATGCATTCTTTATGCAACTCTTCATCATTCCACCATTCATTCTTTATTCCACAAACAAGTCACATGCATTTCCACCTTCCTACTTCATCATTTCACCACATTCTCCCTCTTTAACTCATTTCATTATTCATTCACTTTGCATTCATCACTTCCACCCCACATGCACCCTTTATTCTTCATCATTGCAACCATGGCACATTTACACCAACAAAACAACTCCCATGCCATGGCCTACTCATATTCCCATTTCCTTTCCAACATCTCACATGCATTTCCACCTTCCTACTTCATCATTTCACCACATTTTCCCTTTTATTTCCACATGCAATTCTTCATCATTGCAACCACAAACACCTTAAACAAATAGCCATATACATCTCCACTCCTCCTATAAATACCCTTGCATTCATTCATTCAAATATCATCTCATTTCATACACAACACACCACAAACACTTCCATCTTCTCCCTAGCCGTGAGTTTCTCTCCATTTCCCTTCCATTTCTCCTCCATTTCTTCCATTTCCATAATCCCCCAATCCATTCAACACACCAACAACATCCCTTAGTCCTTGTGCCACAATAAAGAGGAAGATAAGAGGGCCTAAACGTTCATACAATTCACGTTTGAGTTGTTGGAATGTTTACGCGTTTATTTGATTTCAATGTTTTCAATTCTCTTTGTTTTGTAATATGAGGAATGGAAGAGAAGAGTGCCTAAACGTTCATACAATTCAAGTTTGAGTTGTTGGAATGTTTAGGTGTTTCTTTGATTTCAAAGTTATGAGGAACTAAACCCTTTTTGGCTAGGGGTGATTTCAATACCATGATTATTTATGTAATATGAATTGATGAATTCCGGTTATGAACTCTTGATTCGTGAATGCAATTGGCTTAACTATTTGATGATTAACTTATTTGTGTTTGTTGATTGAGGGTCGACACTTAATTAGCATGCATGAATATGTGGCTAAAGTTTAAGAAGGTTTCACATAATCGTTACTAACTTATACTTGAAAGTAGTGAAGGTCGCTTGTCACGATCGCGTTAAGTTTAATTCTTAGCATGAGTAACATGATGTCATAGTTGCAAATGCTTTGTCAATGCTTATGGTTTTCATTATTCTTAATGATCTTCGATTGTATCTCTATTATGATGACATGTAGGGAACTTTTGAGAATATTTTGGGTTGTCGAATGATGCCATCCAATCCAATAATATAAGGAAAATCTGAGGGTTAACTAGTGATGTCACGGTTAATTTGGGGCATTGTCGTTCATAATTCAATGAAGGAATAACTGGAAATTGATTCATATGCATAAATATCATGTGTGGAGAAAGAACCTCTAGCTAATTCACCAACCATCTTATTTCATCAATTACATTCTTGTTTCGTTATTTCAATTGTCATCAAACCTCAATCCCCCTTTTGCTTTAATGTGCAATATAGTTAGAAATCAATTTAGTTTGTGTTTTTAAAGCATTTTGATTCTTTTGGTTTGTCTTAGTGTTTTAACGTTCAGTTTCACATTCTTTGAGTCTAGTTTAGTGTTTTATATTGTTTTTACGTTTTTAAGTCAATTTAGAAGGTTTTAGCAAGCCCTCCTAATTCCCGGTCTAGAACGATCCCTCACTTATCCATTCTACTAGAATTGTCAAACGAGGGTTTAATTTGAGTGTCAAGTAATTCTTGCATCAAGCTCTCTTATATTTTCTTTGCTTCAATGGGATAACTCACATCTAATTGATAGTTATGGGCCGATAAAATGAACGCTTTGAAGATTGTATTTTGATTTGATGATTCCATGGGACTAGTTGATAAAGTAAATGGAGAAACATTTATCGAATCCGACTGTTAAACCTCGGGTAAATTGTCATAGGAGGCTCTTCCGCTGGCAATAAGAAGGTGTATTCGTTTGCGATTACTCGAATGGAGTATGGAGTATGGACTATGAGTAAAGGCCAATATATTAGACGTTATAACGGTCTGCACAGTATTTCTTTTTTTCATGAACAACGGTTTCACGCGCGTAAACTACAAAAGCAAGTTATTTGGATGATTGCTTCTGAAGTTAGTTGGAATTTTGTTGGTTTTCAATGCGAAGTTCTCAGTTGCTGAATTAGTACTTATGTTTAATACTCTATTCTATTTGTTAAACTGCAAAGTCCATAAGTCCAAATGTAAGCTGAACTTACTTGAAGTTCGTAGCTTTTGATGATCAGTGATAGCTGATCATGACCATCAATTTCTCTTTACATTGAGCTTAATTTATAATTGATTAAATCCGTGTGCCTTCTTCTACCATTTCTTATGGTATATAATATATCATTAAACTTGGAATTTCACTCAATCATTTTTATTATGTTATATGTCTGTGACCAGTAACACTCTTGTGTAGAATTAAACCTTTCAAAAGTTATTGGATATGAAAACTGGGTTGACTATGGTTCATGGGATTAACCCTAAATAAAAAAAATAAAATAGAAAGACGTACTACGAATGGTTCCTGTTTAGGGTCTAATCTAAGGATTGGATGCAACCATGAAATAAAAAGAAAAGTTACTAAGCTTTTGAACTGTTGGTCTTTGTTTTCTTTCTCATGTCTCAGAAGCAAGATATGATAGTGGAACATGAACGTTTTGGTGTCACATGTCAGTTCTGAACATATTCTCCAGATCGGAGTGTGACAAGACCAGTCACTTTCTAAAAAGAAATGACATAGAATGTACTGATCTTACT